TCTGCCTTTGGATGGCCTTTTCTTTTGTGGTTTGGGGGTTGTCTTTCTCAGTTGTGATAGGGGAGGGAGTTCAAACTGAACTTAGCTGCAATTTTTGCTGAAGAGCAGGACTGGGTGTATAATTGTCCATTTGTATGATTCATTAAACCGTCTTGAGACGTTCAAATCTTCACAGTGGAGGTCGTGAGGTAGGAGATATTTTGGGGACTTTCTTCTTGCCAGAAGGTACTGCTATAGTCTACCAGCTTCTTTCCCAACTGTTTGCCGCATGTTGTGATGCTATTGTAAAGCTATATATATGTACATGTATATGATTTTCTTAATATTCATTCAACTTGTGTGCTAAAGGATAACTACTACTAATTCTTACTACAATTACAATGTATACTGGTGCAGTTTACAATGTACATGTTTATAATTTAATTTTTTCTTATTAAAAAGCTATACAAATATATTGCAAAAGGTACTACCCCAAATCTGCCAAATAGGAATGGTTGCATCTTACTCCTCAGGATACCAGCGTAACCCAAAGTTCCAATGGAACCCTCCCCCACTCAGGAGGGACTCAGTGGATGCTTTCCAAAAGTACTGGTGTCTGACTTCGGGTGGTAGTGGCAGTCTAAGATCAGCAAATGTCTCAACAGTTGCCTTTACTCAGTTCCTCCCCCACCTCGACCAGCAAGCTGGATTTAGTGTGTTTGTGTTTCGACCTAACCCCCGGGCTATGTCTCAGGACCCAGCTACCATAACCGTAGCCTAGCGCTGGGCTTGCACCTCGATTGAAAGTACTGGCATCTTCAAAGCTCAACACATCCATTGACTTAAGAGTCGAAATTAACAGAGTATGGGGTTTCCCTTCTATTTGAAAATATACTTACTGGGCAAGGGACAGACAGTCTGGCCTTGAGAACCAGAAATGGCGGGTTAAAGATCTTTTATGGGGTTTAGGAAGTAGCCACTAATTGACTATGTATTATTTATTTGACATTTCATATTGTATTGATAAAAGAAACACAATCACTCAGACAGTTAATTTGTGATAATGTACAGTAATGTTTGAGTCTATCAAATCAATGACACACTAAGATCAGTTATATAATTAATGTACATGTATGACAGTCACAATATTTTACTGTTCCATAGAACTCAGCCAACTTTAATGTAGTCCCTCATCATACCTTCCTAAAATACAAAATCATCAACTAAACCCATTTTATCACTTTACCTTCAGTATACAACTTGTATAAAAAAGGAATTCCATCACTGATCACACACTAATGGTATTCTTTCAAACTCATATTATCATTAGTGACATAGAAGAGCATTATTCCAGACTGTTTCCAGTCCAGTTCAGCACATGTTCATTCATCAGTACCTGGCATGTACATTAATGAATCACCATATACTACGGAATATCTTGCAGCTTCCTCATCTACAAAAACAAACCTGTCAATGTCTATTAAAACAGGATGTCTCATTTCATTGAAACCAACATTTTCAAGCCTTATATCCATGTGGGCAAAACCCTTGCCATGTAATTCTGTAATTGCCTCAGCAACTCCTTCAGGAAATTTACGAATCTTTGACTTGGCATCGTTTTTTGATATGGGCGAGGAAAACAAATTATACTCAAGAAATTCAACTTCGTTGTGTATAAATTAATTAATGGGAAAAGCAATGTAATCTGCAGCAATGTTACATGCCTTTAACCGATCACGAATGATTTCATGCATTGTTTCATTGAATACTTGTATACTTTATTGTGATCTTTCGATTTCAGTACAATCCTGATGGTATTTGAGATAAATCTTGTAGATTTTGACTTTCTTTAAACTTTTCTAAAAACGAGCGTGTGACTGGCATGGTGAAATAAGAATGTTGTTCAATGCTACGTTGGGTAGTGTATAAATATTGTATTTGTGCATTGTGAATCTTATGTATTTGACGGAAAACATCATCCTTTTCCAAGTAAATAGAAGAAATCGTGTACGTGAAATTAAATGGATTCCATGTGCATTCTACCAGTTCTACCATACCATTTTTTACCGGTATAATAACTCCGCTGATAGAATCGAGTTCTCCACCATCATCTCTGCATACCTTGGCATTCATGAGATACTGTAACTGTTGTACGAGTCCAAATGCAAGTTTCCTGACTGTAGAGTCTCTGTCACCTTTCGAAACAACCTCAAGTTGAACAGATATTTTTTCTCTAAAATTTTCTTCACTTCCACATGTGACAATGTCACATTTTTTAGATCAGTAGAGAATAAGCTTTTTTGATCTGGAAAAGAGCGGCCAATTCCCTTTTCAATTGTAACAAAAGAGCCATGAATGCATCAAAACAGTCTTGTAGCCATTCTTTCATTTTATCACAAACTGTATTGTGTGAGGTAGTGTCCAAATGTGGATCGTTAATTGTTAATAAGGTCTCGCAACGTGTACGGTTGTGAACAAGAAGACAAATTACGCCGTGTTGAAAGTAGCCCCGCATTATTTGGAAATGAAGTAAATATTGATGAATACGAAGCACATTGACGCTTAGCAACTGAAGCATATGTTGATTCTCCTCTTTTCTTTTCGAATATAAAGTTGGGACTTTGGTCTTGCAAAAATTTTAGCAACGTTGACATCCTATAGAGATTTACAATATATGCATACAGTACCTAACAGATCCAATTCAAATGATGTGTGTCTTATAACAGATAAATTTTATGACACAATGATGTAATTGGTACCAGACTCTTGAGGGTCTAGACTATTTTTATGACTGTGGCATAATGGCATTAATATGGAAATCACAAACTCACTGTGACTTGTTATTAACCCGACTATCTCAACACACTCACACCAACTGACATAATTAACTTACACGAGTATATGACACAGTAGCCTGAACTACTATAAGAGGAAGAGGGCCTAGGGAAGAGTGAAGAATAAGAAAGAAAGATCTCTAGACTCTGTAATCGATTATAATAATCAACTTTACATGAAACATGGATCACATGAGCACGAGTTTCATAAACCCATGTGGAATACAAAATGGCTCCGAGTAATAAGAAATGTAGGCATGGCAATGTCTGGAGGTGTAGATTCATCAGTAGCCGCTTTGCTATTGAAACAAAAAAGTAGTCCAGTTGTTTCTAAGTACCGTTACTATTGTTTTATAGGTTGTAATGTTGTGGGATTTTACATGAATAATTGGGACGCACAGGAAGAATACAGTCGATATTGTAATGTTGATAATGATTATATACTGTGCATGCATTACGTGCTCATAAAGGCATCAATGTGTGTGTCAGAATTTAGAAAGTGTGAGGACCGTCTCTCGGCCATTTTTAATCTGATCTCTCTTTCTCAGAGCATATTAATTGTGTTGTCTCCAAGGCCTATCGAATGTTAGCTCTGCTAAGACGTACCTTCACATCCTCAACTTCTATATCTACCAAAAAGCAACTTTATTTGACACTTGTCCGTCCAATACTTTGTAATCTGGAGGCCTTACCTCATTAAAGACATTGTGGTCCTTGAGAGGGTACAAAGAAGGGCGACCAAGTTCATTCTCAATCATTTCACCAGTGACTACAAGACCAGACTAAGGTCCCTAAATCTCCTCCCTCTGATGATGACCTTTGAGTTACAAGATCTGATATTTTTCATTAAAGCCATAAAGACACCTGACCCTTCCTTCAATATTCTGGACAATGTCTTCTTCTCCACTAATGCTACACGTTCTGGTGCTGGTCTCAAGCTCCGACACTCTGTTTCCTCCACAAACCTGAACTGTCACTTTTATTACAACCGCCTCCCTCGTTTGTGGAATTCACTACTTGTCATCCAAGACTCACTGTCTCCAAATGCAGCTCTAGTAATCATAAAAAATCACTTCTGGTCCACATTTGAATCTGTTTTTAACCCTAATCAAGCATGCACCTTTCACTCACTCTGTCCATGTAATTTATGTATGTTAAGCCCTTCTACTACAAACTTCTCTTAAATAATAACTAGTGTATTCTGTCTAAATTTTGTGTGTGTGTTTGTTTGTAAAGGCTGTTTCGGCATGTTCGACTCAGACCTCCAGTGCTACCATTATCTGACCTATCCTCCTGAAATTTTTAATCCTTCATTTGTGTCACTGGAAAGTTACTATTATTATTATTATTATTATTATTATATACCCTGTACTATAGTCCATGCAAGTTATTTGGCCAATTTTTTGCCAACTTTAAAAATTCGTGCAATTAAATTTCAAATTTGATCTGAATCAGCTCAAATTACCTTATTCTATATCAGCACTATAGTCCATGTACGTGTACATGTATGTACATTTATCAAGCCCAACCTTCCTTACATGTATACAGGTTTGGAGACTAATCTGCCACACATGAATCAGAGGAGGATGGCAGTTATCAAGTATTGTTGTTTTTGTTGTTGTTGTGTTAGGTTTTGCTGGTTCTCTTGATCCTTTTGACTCTTATTTCAGAGCTAGACTGGTTTGCATGTTGCTGGATACTTGTGGCAGTTATTTTGACCATGGATCCTCCAAACGCAAACTTGACTCCTTTATCATTGTTTTTCAAGTAAAACACTATTTTATAATGATAATGACCATTAAGTTTTTCTCTCCTCCCCCCCCTCTCTCTCTCCCCCTCTCTCTGTGTAGTGTTATTTGCTAAACAAACGTCAGCCATTGCCACTTGAAGTTGAATACGTTATCACAGACTGTCTCCTCTCCCTTCATCCTAACCTTGTTCTATACAACAACGTAACTGAAGCTCAGGAAGCTCTCTCTGAACTTGAAAAGACCTTCAGGACCAAACTAGGAGAGAGTGATGGGGGAGAGGATGGAGGAGGAGAGGAGAGTGATGATGAAGATGAGAGAGGGTTTGATTGGGGAGGGAAGCAAGAGGGGGAGGAGGATGAGGAGGAAGAAGAAGAGGTTAGGTTTTTAAATTAATTTTTTTAGAATTGAAATTATTTTAGAATGAGGAGGAGGAGGATGTTGAGGATGACGAGATGTCCGACTTGGTTGATTTTGGCGGCGTGAGTTTGTTTGTTTTTTTTATTTATGTACATGTTTGTTTGTTTGTTTGTTAGGACACAGCTGTGATGAATAAGGGTCCAGAGTTATTGAAATGTGCAGAAGATAAAACTTTTTGGCTGAATTTGATGAAATGATAACAGAAGTTAGTTTTTATGACAATGAAAATAAATTATAATGAAAATGTGGGGGAGGGGCTAATTTTTGGAATGAATCAAGCACTATAGCCTTGGATATTTTTCAAAAATTGGCTCGTTTTTAAAAATGCTTATAACTCGAAAATTATTTGTCGGAATTAGCTCAAACTTTCTACATAGCATAAGGACATCAATGTCCATTAGAAAATGTAATAAAAATTTGGGGTAATTTTTGAGCCATTTTTCAGAAAAAACCATGGGCTATAGCCTTGGGTATTTTTCAAAAATTGGCTCTTTTTTAAAAATGCTCATAACTTGAAAATTATTTGTCGGAATCAGCTCAAACTTTCTGCATAGCATAAGGACATCAATGTCCATTAGAAAATGTAATAAAAATTAGGGGGGGATTTCGGAGCCATTTTTCAGAAAAAAGCATGGGCTATAGCCTTGGGTATTTTTCAAAAATTGGCTCGTTTTTAAAAATGCTTATTACTCGAAAATTATTTGTTGGAATCGGCTCAAACTTTCTACGTAGCATAAGGACATCAATATCCATTAGAAAATGTATTAAAAATTTGGGGTGATTTCGGAGCCATTTTTCAGAAAAAACCATGGGCTATAGCCTTGGATATTTTTTAAAAATTGGCTCGTTTTTAAAAATGCTCATAACTCGAAAATTATTTGTCGGAATATGCTCAATCTTTCTACATAGCATAAGGACATCAATGTCCATTAGAAAATGTAATAAAAATTTGGGTAATTTCGGAGCCATTTTTTCGAAAAAACCATGGGCTATTATAGCCTTGCGTATTTTTCAAAAATTGGGTCGTTTTTTTTAAATGCTCATAACTTGAAAATTATTTGTCGGAATCTGCTCAATCTTTCTACATAGCATAAGGACATCAATGTCCATTAGAAAATGTAATAAAAATTTGGGGTGATTTTGGAGCCATTTTTCAGAAAAAACCATGGGCTATAGCCTTGGGTATTTTTCAAAAATTGGCTCTTTTTTAAAAATGCTCATAACTCAAAAATTATTTGTCGGAATCAGCTCAAACTTTCTGCATAGCATAAGGACATCAATGTCCATTAGAAAATGTAATAAAAATAAGGTGTGATTTTGGAGCCATTTTTTCAAAAAACCATGGGCTGTATAGCCTTGGGTATGTTTCAAAAAGTGGCTCCGAAATTACCCCAAATTTTTATTACATTTTCTAATGCACATTTATGTCGTTATAGCCTTTGGTATTTTTCAAAAATTGCTCATAGCTCAAAAATTATTTCTTGGAATCATTTCAAACTTTACAAGTGAGTTTGATATGCTCTTATCTTTCTCTTTCTCCCTAGACTTGTAGAGCTGATGTTCCTAAAGTTCCTGTTGTTGATATAGCTATACCTATAACACTTCGTAAACCAATTGAAAAACCAGCTACTACCAGCACTGGTTGGTGCTATAATACCAGTACATTTATTTACTTCTTTTCTCCTCGTTCCTCCCCTTTCTCTTTCTCTCTAGTTGAAGATAAAGGTCAAATGAAGTTCACAGTTTTGATGAAGAAAGGAAACAAGCCTCAGGTGAGAATAAGGATCAGTATAATGGCTAATGGTGTCAACTGAAATTTGGAAAAATCAAGGGATTTTAAACTCAAAATGTTTATAAAATTGTCTTCTTTTGTGTCTTATTTTAGCTCAAAGAGTTGAATGTACCAGCTGACAATATCCTGGCATCAGGCCTCAAGGAAACCCAACTGGTAAGCAGTTACTGTGCTATAGCTAGTTCGTTTCTTGTGGAAGTAATTTTTGTGGAGGCTCAAATCCACTGAAATTAATTCCACTAAATTTTATTAACATCAATTCAATATTAACAAAAATTTTCAAAAATGAACTCCAAAAAAATCTCCCTGTCCTCCATTAGGCACTTGAGAATGAGAAGAAAGAAATGAAAAAGATTGTACTGACACACGAGCGAAGGCAAACTGAAGAACTGAGACAGGAAGAGGAAGGTTTGTATTTATTTATTATTTTTTTAAATTTCATCATTTATTAATTGTTAGCTCAAGATTTCTACCAAGTCAATTCTTCTCGTCAGATCCCATTGAGACAACCACCTCAACACCATCCAGCCTGGAATCCTCAGCATCACCATGGCAACCATTTCAAGCCACACCCACATAAGAAACCCCCTGGATGGAACAGTAGGAAGTGATGGAATGACTTGGCGTTGTTATTACGCAATCATCGAGTGACCTGTTGCTGAAGAGATGTGAAAAAATTTAAAATTATAATTTTGATGAACTCAAAATTAGATCCCATTATAATAAATGGATTTTGCCTCATTCTTAATTATTGTGTATGTCTTGAATCATTATTATAGTTGTGTCGTTCTTAGATAATATTGATATCCCAACAACATCCTAGGTTTTAAGTTTGCGAGTCATAGGAGAGTTGTATTTAAAAATTTTGAAAAAATAAACACAGACAAAAAAGCACAAATAACTGTAGATGTGTTATGATTATTTTAATAATAAATTCAGTAGTGTATTGTTTAATTATGCAGTTGTTTCTAGTTCAGTAATCTTCAATCCATTCATTTTCAGTGACAAAGGCATCAACCACTTCCTTCATTGCAAGATTTGATGTCAGTTGATCCGAAGTTAACTTTGTCCTTGTGATAGGATCGAAATGACCAACCCTCTACATTAAAAATAACATTAACAATAAAATACAAGTCAAAACAATAATCACGTACATTTAAATGTTCCTCAATATCTTTCCTATCATATCTACATGAATATAAGCAACAAAATAATAATAAATTAAATATTAATTTTATTTATATTTTACGTTATTCCACTGGGAGTGATGACAGGATCCTCCATTAGCTCAAAACTGATTTTACCACACAGGTAATCAGGCACATCTCTGCTCTAGAGAAGAAAATGATAGAAAACGGAGAGCAATAAAGCACAAGATGTGCTGTACTAAAATATAAGGTATGAACAAGAAGAGAATAAAATGGTGAAGAATTCTCCAATTTTATATTTTTTTCCTGATATATAGACATGTACTTATGTTGTGTAAAAAGTTTGAGCTGATTACAATTAAATTTGGCTTTTTTTACAAATGAGAGAATTCTCCATTTTTAAACTTCTTCCTGACACATTTAGTTACTTTTCTCGAGGCATCAGCTTCTTCAAAGACACGTTTCAATTCTTTCAACCTCTCATCCTACGAATGAAAATAAAAATAAATAAAACTATAACTATTATTCTTTTTACATGTTGCTTGACGATCACTTCAGACTCTCTCTCCTGCTCTTCTATTGACAGCGAATTCGACTCAGCCAAGAGCTCATCTTTGTGTTTCAGGAGTAAATCATTTAAAAGATGAAGTAGGTCAGACTGCTGGTTTAACCTTTGCTCCTCTTTTTCTTGCCACCTCTAAAAAGGAGTGGAAAGTTGGGCGAGTTTTTTTCTCAAAAATGTTATACTTTTCTCTTTGCTTGTCTCAAAGCACTTGCTATGTCATCACCGAAATTCCTCCTCTGCTCCTTAGCAAGTTTATGAGCTAATTTCATAATAAATATTATCTTACAAGAATTAATGAAAAATGACATGCATTTTGTATGCATGAATACTAAGGCCTTTTCACACTGGCACAGTTTTTAAAGTGCTTTGGTCACACCACATTACAATCCACCTCTGGAGCTTGGAAGTAAAGTGAGAGTGATGTCCATTAATTTGAAACCACTCTATAGTGTGAATACAATTAATAGGCATTAATACGTATTACTTTTGCCAGTGTGAAAAGGGCTCTATTCTTTTTACTATATATATATATATTTTTTTTTTTAATGAATAAATAATAGTGTAGCTAATTGCAAGAAAATTAGTAAGTGATAATGAATAAAGAGGTGGTCATATGTGGTTATATATTTTAAATATTCTCTCTTCCCTGTCCTCACCTGTTTCAAATGCTTCAATTGCTCTTTCATGATTACCCAATTCAGTGTAAGCCTGTCCGATATAAAAGTGCGCCTTAACGCCAGCTGGGTCAATCTGAATGGCTGTCTGACAATCATCAATGACTGATGACCATTGTCCTAGTTTAATATGACACAATGCCCTGTTGGTGAATAGGCGAGAGTCTTTTGGAGTCTTAGTCTACAGAGAGACAGAGGGAGAAAAGGAAATAAAAATAAAGAGAGACAAAAAGGGAAATAGAAAGGGGAAAGATTAATTTTGAATGGAAAATAGTTCCATAATGTCATAATAAAAACTTTATTGTATACCCTCTAGACTAGCAATAAGGAAGATGTTAGGAATGAAAGAAACGCTCAATATCTTACAAGTGCTGAGGAGTAGCTTTCCAGAGCGTCTTTATACTGACTCTGAGAGAAGAAACGATTTCCTCTACTTCTGGCCTCCATTTTTATTTACGCTTCTAATAAACCACACCTACTACAAAACCACACCCCACAATAAGGGTAAAATAATCATTATCATTATTTTTTTTGACAAAAAAATAACTGTTAATAAAAGTTTTATGATTTTTCTTTTTTATCAGAAGGAGGATGGATCAATGTTTTTTGCTTGTCAGCTAGTTTAAGGAGGTCCCCAGTTGATTCACGAGCTCTTTGGAGCAAACTAGAAAAAAACAACAACAACAATAATAACTACATTTTTTGTTGCTCAAATTTTCTACATTTATCATGTAATATTAATTGGTCAAGAGCCTTTTGAGAAAAAGCATTCAGACATGAACTTTCCCATGCTCTTTTAAATCAAAGTTGGATCAATTTTTATTACATTTTCCTCATCTTAGTAAGTCTAACCTGCGCAAACTGTTAAGCTGTAAAGTCCCCATCCCTCCTCCTCCTCCTCCTCCTCCTGACAAGCTGTTAGGTAACTTCCCTAGCAAGTTCTGCATTCTTTGCTGATGATGAGGCAACCACTAAACAAGAAGAGAGTAATAGCTATATATAAAAATTGATATTATATAGTCGATGGTGTCAGTTAACTAGCAGCAAGATGTACCCACTAATTAAGTCAATCCTTCAATAAAACAACAAAACCTTTGCCAGAGACACCCCTGAAGAATATACAAGTAGTTATTTACTTTCTGCAGTCTTATTGTATCCTCTTTGGTGCATTGAGCACTATGGTCAAGGGACGCCATTAAATTACGTAAATCTTCACGAACAGGAGTACATTTCCTTAAAGAAATTTAAAAAATTAACAACAAGTGATGGAATAATACAACTCTCTATGCCCCTTTGTCTCCCTTCTCTCTGCTTTTCTCTCTCTCTCTCTCTCTCTCTCTCTCTCTCTCTCTCTCTCCCTCCCTCCCTCCCTCTCTCTCCCTCCCTCCCTCCCTCTCTCCCTCCCTCCCTCCCTCCCTCCCTCCCTCCCTCCCTCTCTTTCTCTCCCTCCCTCCCTCTCTCTTAGTCTCACTCTAGGAAATGATATAAGTTGCCATAAACATGATTTCTTCCTGCTATCATTTCTGATAATTTCTTGTCAGCCATTCCCAACCTTTCCTTAATGGTTCTCCTGTTGAGAGAAAAGAGACAAATACAAATTTTAAATTCATTAAAAAATTCAAATTTGATTGGAATCTGCTCCACAAAAAACAAACAATTTTCTCCTTTTTAATTTTGGCCCACAACCATGTACTACTAATTTGATCAACTTTGAAAATTTATAAAAAATCCAACTTTGATTGAAATCAGTTCAAAGATTCTACACAACACAAGTACGTGTACAACGTATATGTAAATGTATCAAAAAGTTACTCACTTGTTATATTCATGTGACCTTCTATCATAGTCACCATGAATAGCTGTAATATAAAATTATTTAAAAAATATTAAGTATAAAAAATATATTCAGGCATACCGCCTCTTTGCTTCTTCTGTTCTTGAAAAGCATTAAAAATTTCTTCAACTTTATCAACATATGACATCATAGTCTTGGTACTACAGTGGATTAAGTAGAATATACTTGTAAAAGGTGGCATTATTTTTTTTGCTTTAACCAAAATGTTTAATCTAAACACAGTCCCCTACATAAGATACATACCTTTCATTAAAAACTTTGGCAAGATAGTTAGTGTCCCAAATGCTTGAGCTGGTTATTGAATTAACTGTTGAGTGGAAATCCTTTGTCTGTTCATGAAGAGCAAAGCTTTGATCTCTAACCTAAAACAATCAAGAGGTATCAGCTTATCATGTAACGAATTGCATGATTACTGACATCCACAAGATGTTTATTCTTGTCTTCAAGTTGTCTTTGAAGATCAGCAATATCATGATCAAATGCTGATAAGGAAAAAGGGAGTGAGTGAGGGCGAAGGAGGAAGAACAGAAGAAAAAGGTGATTAATGCATTTAGATGAGCAATATGATTCCTACCATTGTTACAAAGTGGGTTGATAGCTTGAAGGAATTCAACATCAGACTGAAGACTAAACATAAAAACAGAAACAAATTATTATTATTATTATTATTATTATTATTATTTATCCTTATCATTTCTTTGCTTTATTATTATTGTGATTGGATAATAATAATAATAATAATAATAATAATAATAATAATAATAATAATAATAATAAACATTATTTCTAATTATTAACACTATTACCCGACTATCTGAGAGTTACTGATGTCAATTAGCGAGTTAAAACGAACTTGTACTTCTTCATATTTCCTACACCAGGCACGATAGTCCTTGTCCAGAGTTTCCCTCAGACACAAAGCCCCTTGGTTCATTAGTCTAAAGTATCTGTCCATTGTCTCTGCTGCTCTGTACATTACCCATATTGCCTTTGTGCAATCCTGAGAGGGAGGGAGAGAGGGGGAGAGAGAGAATGGAAGAGAAAGTTTATTTTAAAAGTTATTCTAACTTTGGCGTATCGTAGATCGTCAACCATAGTTGTTTCAGGTGGCATATTAGGAGGTTGGGCTAAACAATAATAATATAATAATAATAAATACAGTATAATAATAATAATATAGAAACACTAACTGACAACAGGTGTAGCTAGTTTGTCAGGTTTTTGAGGAGGACCGCCAAACACAGTCAATGGAGAATCAGGCTACAACAATAATTAATTAAACAATAAAATTAATCAATTAAATTACTGTTGTCAGTGGAAGGTCTCTTGCTCTGACTGGTTCCGTTCCAAATAAAATATTTTCCAGATACATTTCCATGTGCTTCGGGTCTAAGGAAGTCTGTCTTGCTATCAACTCCTTAAACTTTGGAATACTATTAGAGGTGAGGGGAGGTAGAAAAAGGAAGAGATCATTGTCGCTAAATACATGTACATGTACATGCATGTATTACTAACATGTCAGCTTCTCCTGCATCGTCTACATAAATCATGTGACACGTACAACGACTCACGCAGAAAATATGAACAACCTAACACAATACATAATCCTTCATGATCTTTCTCCCTCTCTCTCTCTTACATTTTGTTTCTTTATTCCATCGATAGCTTTAAAAAATCTATCAAAAGCCCACATGCTATCAAAAGTGTCCAACACTCCAGCAAGAATAGGAGTTATGATATCCCTCAGACCTCTAGAAAATGTGAGTACAATGAATTTGTAATACAATTGTACAAATATATGTGCATAATACAATAGAACATACTGGGAGATGACTATATCTGGTGGGAGTCTATCACTGTAGTATATAGGTGCATTATATTCTTGCTGCCACCCAAGAATAATCCCAGTCTTTTTCTCATTTATAATCTTAAACCTGTCATCAACTGATAATCATGTGAGAGTCATATACATGTAATCACTAACATTGTTCCTCTGTCCTGCCTCTTCCTGTACGGGCGAAAAGGCAAGCGACCGGTGGCAAGGTGAAAGAAAGTGGCACCCAAACTCCATAGGTCCACTTTGTCCAAGAATTCTTCTTTAGAGCGATAGTTAATCAGAGCACGTTCGTACATAGCTGGGTACTGAGAGAGAGAGAGAGAGGGAGGGAGGGAGGGAGGGAAAGAGAGAGAGAGAGGGAGGGAGGGAAAGAGAGAGGGGAGAAGAGTGAGGTATAAAAAAGAGAGACATTATAAGTCATATCATCCATTATGTATTATTATTAGTAGTAGTATTATTATTATTTAAATAAAATAAAAAAAGGAGGAAATGAAAGGGAAATCTTTCAAACATTATTATCATTCTTATTACCAGATACTCCTCCGTCCCGTGTAGTGAGGTGAAATGTTCATTAGGATCAAGTTGTCTTGCTGTACCAAAATCAGCCAATTTGAATACAAAACTAGAACAACAAAGACACATTACTTACATGTACATAGACTACATTTAGGTAATAAAAACATTCATTTAAATGGGCGTGTACATGTACAAGCACGCAGTACCTTCCATCAGGATTGATGCATCTCATTATATTCCCTGGTTTAATGTCTCGATGAACAAACCCATGATCTCTCAAGTGTCTCATACCACTAGCTATTAATAATAATAATAATAATAATAATAATAATAATAATAATAATAATAATAATAGTAATAATAATAATAGTAATAATAATAATAATAATAATAATAATAATAATAATAATCAGAATGTGTGTACGTATAATGGGTAATAATAATAATAATAATAATAATAATGATTGTATAATAAAACTCTTACCAACGTCAAAAATGACACTCTTAAATTGATATTCGTCAAGTCCGTATGCATTTTGAGGAGAATCGATAACTTCATACAGACTCCCTCCATTGCAAAGTTCCATTGCAATAATGTGATATTGATGCTTTTTCTATCATAAAAAAATTAATAAAACAGGGTACGGCTTGATAACCTCAATTTCATTCAGTTCAAAGAATGAAACAATATTTGGGTGAGTCTTGAGTGCCTTTATTGTTTGCATTTCGCTTTGCATCGCCTTGTACTCGCTTGGGCTTGTGAACATCTTGATGGCAACCTTGTCACCAGACCTCTAAAAATCAAATATACAACACTCCTTCCTTCCTTCTCTCTCTTTACTTTACTGTAGCCAGCGAATACTTGTCCAGTGGCTCCTTGGCCCAGCTTGTCTTTTGACGACCATATGTAACTGAGAGAGTAGTATTCAGTCTCGTCTCCTCCTCCGATGAAGGCTGGCCTCACTTGCTGATAATTATAAGCCATTGCTGGTTGTTAATTGATGCAGAAAATGGATGAAGATTGAAGAGAAGTAAATGGGGTAAGTTTTGGGGAAATACCCTCTCATTATAAAATAGGTAACGTCATTGAAAAGAAGTCTATTTATAAAACTATAAGGGGTGTGTCTTTCTTTGATTTTATTAGCACTTTAATAGCAGCTGAAGAAGAAGTACCCTGTGCCCCGAGAAAAATACATTAAAATCTGATCATGGACATGGAGGCTATGGATACTGCCGGTAAGCCTTCTCTCTTTCCCCTCTCTCTCTCCCTCCACTAAACTAATTTATGTTGCAATTCTTTTCCACACACACCCCCACCAGTCCGCATGCCCATTACAGGTGTCACACTCTATGACAATGGATATGCTGTATTTGAGAGGCAGACAACGGTCAGTGGGAACGGGCAGATTGATCTCTACTTCCCAACGGACCTCATGAAGAATGTTCTGGAATCGCTCGAGTTTTTAGGCGATGCGTCAGCCAATGTTGGTAATATTGCCTACGAAGCCACAAAACCGACTGCAAATATCGAGATAAAAGAAACGGAGCCGCTACTGAGTTTGATACGCTCACTTGTTGGCTGCCAGGTGGTGCTTCAAACTAACGATGGGGCGGAGCAAGGGATTGAGGGGCGTGTCCTCGGGATTGAAGAGAACATAAGCGTTAGAGGAGAGTCAACATCACAGGAGCACGTCGCCTTGTACCTCCCAGGGGGACGCCTAGGGATGTACCCCTTGGATAGCATTCGTAATGTGTGCCTCTCTGAGGAACAAGTCCGTCAGGATATATCCTTCTCTTTGGATCTCACTAAGAACAAAAGCAGGGAGGACATGCAGAAACTCTCTGTGTTTTATTCAAACGTGGATTCTCCCAAGAATCTCATTGCCAGGTACGGGTTTCAGGTCAGTGAATGGAAGAGCTCCTATCGTATGTCGTCAGATCCTCGTCAGCCTAACCAGCTAATGCTTCACGGACTAGCCATCATTGAAAACTCACTCTGGGAGGATTGGAACGACGTTAAGGTCACTCTGGTTGTCGGTGCTCCTGCTATCCACTCTGAGAAAGAGCAAAATGATGAAGGAGCCTGGCGTCTTGTTGTGAAAACCCTTGATGGGTCTTCGATAACTATACGCGCCAATCCAAAGGACTCTGTCCTCGCTGTGAAGAGTAAAGTGGCCAAAAAGAAAGGAGTGTCTCCTTTCTCTTTTAAACTCGTGTTTTGTGGTAAGGCTGTGGAGGATGGTCGCTCTCTCTCTGATTACACTATCAATGACAATGCAGTCCTCCACATGTCCTATGTGGATAGTAGGGGAAAGGGAGGAGGAGTAGCAGCAGCTGGAACCATCTCACAGGTAAGAGGGACAAGAGAGAAATAGAAAGAGAGAGAGACAAGAAACTGTGCTACCTAATGCTTAATACATAAATACATACATGTGCATGCAATACCAAAAGATACATGTATAGTACATTGTATTATTCTTACTGTTATTTTGAGAGTGTTAAGACTGAATCAACAATACTATTGTTACAATTTACAATTTACTTTGGGACATTCTTTATCACAGGCACAGTTTGTAATGGCAGCCCAGGATCACCTCTCCTACTATCAGATACCAATGCATGTCACTGCTCAGAGAAAGCAAAAGGCAATCGTTACGATGCTCCAGACTAAACTTGAAGGACAACAGGTGGTCCTATACGACGAGACGATAAGAAAAGGGAATCCACTGTCCTCCATTTTATTTGAGAACACCACAGGTCGTACACTAGAGGGAGGCAGTGTTATATTAACAACTGCTGAAGCTTTCCTGGGGCAGAGTACCCTACCCACTCTTAGCCCAGGAGATGAGTCTCCTCCCATACCTTATGCAGTGGAGCTCGGCTGTGAAGTATCTAAAGGTAACGACAGTACTTATCTACGTCCTCACCGCATTGAGATTGTGGATGGAAACGTTGGCCTCTATAGGATACATAGGGAGGTTACCATATACCGTATTTCAAATAAGAGCGAGAAGCAGCTTGACTTCCTTCTCAACCACCTCTTCCTTGAGCAGTATGACCTGGTTCAGAATCCCAACAACGAGGAGGAGGAGCCTGTTGACATCACCGACAGGTTCTACCAGTTCCGCTTTCAAGTTGATCCAAAAGTTGAGAAGAAGTCTTTCCTAGTCCGTGAAGAGATTACAGACAGGAAGGAGCATGGTATTCGCGGCCTTGATAAGGAGGAATTCGATCGCTGGGTTTCCAAATCTTACTTGGATGCACCGACGACTGAGTCTTTGAAGAAGACCTTTGAATTGCGCAAGCAGATTGGATTCTGGGAGAGAGATATATTTGAGAAGGAGGGAGAGGAGAGGGAGATAAACAGGAATCAGAGTCACATAAGAGAGAATATATCGGCACTTGAGAATCACACCAAACAAGCTGCTAAGTATATCAACAGTCTTGAGGAGGAGGAAGAGAAGCTTAAAGCCGCTAAGGTGAGAAAGAGAGCCTATAGTATACCATGAAATTTATGTGACAAAATTTTTTATGAATCCTGTATTTCTAAGATTTCATGAAATAAATTTTTGCAAATTGCTTGCAAACTGTACCACGTGGCAATGGAGCTGCAGAATTTTTCGAATTTCACAATTTTAATTTTTGCAACGGAACAAAAATAATAGCAAAATTTGCAAATTTTTTTTGTTGAATAAATCTCATTGTATCCATTATTATTTTGAAGTTCTTATTATTTTTAATGTTTTTTTGATAGGAAGGGGTGAAGAAAGCTAGGGCTAAGAAGAAGGAGCTTGAAAAGCAGTTGACTAATCTAATTGCTTCTATCAAATTTGAAAAGAATATCCCCAAACCAAAGGATACCTTGTCATCAGCTGTACCAATGGAGCAGTGACCGTGTGACTATAAAAATACTTATTATTTAATCTCCAGTAGTTAGCCATAGTTGATTTTAGTTCCCAGTTTAGTAGATCATATATTGGTTTATAGTTTTTGATTATGATTATACCAATTATCACATAATAGTATCAGGGTCTCCCACAAGGTTTTGGCATAGTGCTCAGCTTCTTGTTAGCGAATTGGATTTTTTAAACAAATTTTAAAAGTAGCTCCAAAATCAAACCAAAGCCAGTCTTTGGTCAAGTTTTGTCAAAAATGAAAAATAATATTCTTTGTTTTTATAATTTATTTTGGTGCAGATACATGTACACTATGTCGTTTAGAAAGTTTGAATTAATTCCAATCAAAATGAAAATTTTTATAAATTTTTAACATTGCTCTGAGAATAATTATTATACAGTATTAAATGCGTGGGCTGTAGATTAAGTTATTAAAAGTTATTGATTCTAGGTTAATTTGGGCGTGTCAGTGTCTGCTTGCTTGACATTGATAAAGTCAGTCTAAAAGTTACACTATTAAAAAGAGGCAGCATAGTGACAGTTTCTGTATCTTTTAAAGGCAATGGCTCATCAAACTGGGATCAAACGTTAGTTACCTTACCATACACGTGCAATATACTCCAGACACGGACTGTACTTACTCTCCAGCACCCTTTTACTCATCTTTATGTCACTACCTCTCCTTCCTTCTTTTAGCTTCTGATGAACTCAACGAGTTAATAGCTGAAGCATTGAACGGGAAACTGCGTATTCTACAAGTCGCCATTGAGAATGGTATGAATATATTAATATATGCAGTTCCACACACACTCATACTATTCATTGCATTCTTAGCAATACAATACCATGGCTATTTTGAGTGCATGGAATGCTTAATGAATGTATGTATTTTTGTATTATCTTTAGAGCAACTTGTCGCAAGAGAACACAGACCGCCGAACGGAACCTGGGAAGATGATATCCCTCCTCCTTTCCTCTCTCTCTCTCTCTCACTTTTCTTTTCCTTACCGCTCTCTCCTTTGAACACATTGTAGTTATGTGTTTAAGGGAAAGTCAGAGCTTGTTCCTAACACCCATAACTGGTGTAGCCAGTTTGTTTGGCAGCCATTTCGTAGGATGTTGTGGCCTGATGTATACAGTGTATATATTCACCTTTCATTCACATGTTCCTAATTTGGCATGTATAGGAAATTCAATAATCCAGGTGTTATATCATATTCATTTTATATACAGTATATTTATCAACATTTGTCTGAGATAATGCTAATCTTGAGTCAGTGTTAGTATCAAATAAGTTTTAGTATCAAATCAATGTTAGTATCAAATCAATGTTAGTATCAAATCAATGTTATGTCCTTAACTGTTGCTGTGTACATTATGATTCATTGATTCTCCCTTGCCTCCAAGACAAGGAAGCCTGCTACATTTTGTATCGTCTGGATGAGAGAAACGCTTACGAAAAGCATCTCTGGGTTTTTCTGACATACACACCAGATGAAGCACCAGTTAGTATTAACTTTCAAACCTACCCTCTCCTCTTTACACTTCTCTCCGTTTTTTTAGGTTAGACAAAAGATGTTGTATTCAGCTACCAAAGCCACAATGAAGAAGTCATTCAGCAGTGGTGTACTAATCTATGACATTAGTGCCACTAATAAAGTAAGAGCTAGAATCCTACATAATGTACATGAGGAATGTTTTGTTTGGTGACTGGATAAACTGACATTATTTATTTGAGGCTCGAGTGTTAACGAGTGTTAATGATTGCTTCTTTCCCCCTCCTTTCCTCTCCTCCATTATAGGATGAGATGACATTAAAAGGATACCATAAACACGTAGAGTCAGTTAATGCTCCTCCTCCGTTGACAAGAGAAGAAGAAGAATGGAAAGAAATAGAAGAGAATCAAGTCAGTTGATGAATTAGACACAAAAATGCATTGACAAAGATCACTGCATTGATTTGTCAATGCTGTGCATGTGCATATGTATTCATGATTTTCTTTATTTTTAGGATCATGTTGATGTTGGTACTACCACAAGACAGAGTCACCTTCAAGGCGTTAGCTTCCCTCTTCATGATGATGCATTAGCTGCAATTGAGGACTTGAAAAAGAAAAGGATACAGTACATTCAACTGGTAAGAGAAAGAGAGAGAGGGGGGGAGAGAGATATATATGTATAGAAGAGTGCTTAAAGATAATTTGAAATGGAAAGGGGAGTCACATGAATTGGTAGTTTATCAAACAGATTGTGACAGATGTTCAAACACAGTGTGCTCTATACAATAACTTAATGATAACCTATGTACATATACATTTGCATGTACATACATGTAAATCTATTTAATTTAACCAAGTGTGACTAATAATTATTTACTTTGTTTCTTCCTCTTCTCTCTAGTCTATTGATTTAGATAAGGAGGTGATAGTTCTTGAAGATGCAGCCGACAGTTTAAAACCTGATGACATAGCCAGTCATATCTCAACCACTAAACCTGGTTATCACTTGTATCTCTTTAAACACACTCATGAGGGAGATTACCTTGAGAGCTTTAGTAAGAAATACAATGTACATGTACTTGTAATACTGTAGTCTTAATAGTACTAATAATACTAATAATACTAATATAAAATAACTATTATTAGCCTTTACTTATCCCTTACAATAAATGTGTGCTCTTTCTTCCTTCTCCTTTCCAGTTTTTATTTATTCTTGTCCCGGTTACAAGTGCTCGGTAAAGGAGAGAATGGTATACTCCTCATGTAAGAGTCCATTAATATATGCATTGAAGGAAGACGGGGTTGCCATAGATAAAACCGTAAGTTTAAGCAAAACACTGTGTCCCTCTCTTTCACCATTTTCTTCTTTCTTCTTCTCCCCCCCTCTCTCTCTCCTTTAGCTTGAGTTGGATGATCCTTCAGAGGTAACTGAGAAGTTCTTAATGGATGAGTTACATCCAGTTCAGCAAGCCTATAGACCTCAGTTTGCTAAACCCAAACCACCTGGAAGGAAGAGGTAGAATCTCTTGTTTATCTTTATTTCTCCGCGAGTGTTTCATGAATTGTCAGCTGCAGCATTATTGTTTGTGTTTAGTTCTCTAAACTTAAAAAGATACTATAGTTCTATGATTATTTATTAATATTATTATTATTATCATTATTATTTGAATTGTTTTCTCTTGTGAATTAGTTTATACTTTTATTAAAAATAATCTATACATTAATCTTCATTGTACATTCTTAGCCAATACAGTTATTATCATTAGCATTTCGTTCATGGTCTTTCCAAAATCAATAAGTTTTCTCTGAGCTCACCCACGCATTAATTTCCTTGCTAGCTAGAGGATCTAGGTGTGGTCCAAGAGTGCTGCATCATGGTCATGGGGAAATTAAATTACAGACTCTCACCTTTGATTATCACAGTCTTCACAGAAAATGTCAGCAGAAGTTCAGGCAGAAGTAGGGCTACTGGTAAAGGAGAGCGGGAAGGCCCTTCCTCTTCGTTCTCTGGCCGTAGAGGGTGACATCAATGGCTACGTGGTGGGCCTCTCCATTAAGCTCATCTATGACAATGATAACACTGGCCCGGTGGAAGTTACGTTTCGAATGCCCCTGGAGGAGAAATACGTCCTTACCGATTTAACTGCACTCATAGATGGAAGGCGAATCAAAGCAGACGTGAGAGAGAAAGAGGAAGCGAAGGTGGTTTATGATGACGCCATTGCCAGCGGATTGCCTGCTGCACTCGGGGAGGAGCTCAGTAAGGATATATTTTCAGTATCTCTTGGGAATCTCCCAGGAGGAAGCAAAGCAGAGATTGAGCTCAGCCTTGATTGGCAGCTACCTATAGATGCCGAGGGGAAGTTATCTTTCACCCTCCCAGCTGTGCTAAAACCAAGATACACTCCAGCTACCTCCCAGGGAATAGGAGCAACACCAGCTCCACCAAGCGAAGCTTCAGTAGATGGTCAAGCTGGTGTTTCCCAGTTTCTTCTAAGAGTGCACAATGCAACTAGCATAGCATCTGTAACGTCAGCTACTCACTCTATTTCTGTTGAAGAGCAGGCAGATGCTGATATAAAGGTCGTTACTTTATCAGAAGAGCATGCACTCATTCTCAAAACTGATTTGGTCATTCAGATTGGTCTAATTGAGCCTCATAGCCCTATAGCTGTGGTGGAGAAAGGAAAGGGGAGTGATGGTACTTTTAAATCCGACCACTTGCTCATGATTAATTTCATGCCTCAGTTCCCAGCACTCAGTGATTCAACTCAGTGTGAGTTTGTGTTTCTTGTTGATCGAAGTGGGAGCATGTCCGGTCGCTACATCAAGAGTGCCTCAGAGACACTTGTACTCTTTCTTAAGAGTCTCCCCGAGGGATGCTACTTCAATATTTATGGGTTTGGTTCTCGCTACGTAAGTCTCTTCTCTACGAGTGTTCCATATAATCAGAAGAACCTTGAGAAAGCCATTGATCATGCACAATCACTGAAGGCTGATCTCGGTGGTACCGAGATTCTACCTCCACTCCGTGATATTTACAAGAAGGATCCGATTAAAGATTTCACTAGACAGATCTTCTTATTAACTGACGGGAGTGTCAGTAATACCACTGAGTGTATTGATGAAGTGAAACGTAATGTAAACATTGCTAAGTAAGTCGTTTAAACATGTGTCAAGAATGTAATGTATGTTGTTATGTTATTGTGAATTTTCTTATTATTATTACTATAATAGGTGTTTCACGTTTGGTATTGGTTCAGGTGCTTCTTCCGCTCTTGTTGAAGGAATGGCTTCTGCTGGGGATGGTACGGCTGAATTCGTAAAGGAAGGAGAAAGATTACAACCAAAGGTAATAATGATAATAATAATAATAATCAATAAAACATTAAAAAATATACAAGTTATCTTCAGGCTGTAATGTACTATGACTTTCATTATTAGGTGATCAGAAGTTTGAAGCATGCTCTACAGCCTTTACTCTCCAACGTTAAAGTCTCTTTCAAATTCTCTGCCTCTGACGACATACATGTGAAGCAGGTTCCTAAAACACTGCCAAGGATATTCGAAGGAGAAAGGATCACAATATACGGAATAGTAAAGAGCAGCGACATATCCAGTCCTCTTGAAGGTGAAGTGACATTAAGTGGTCAAATAATAACGTCTGAAGACCCCATCAATGTAACCCACACTGTCTCTTTTAAGGAGAGCCCTAGTGATCATGGGGTGAGCACTATACACCATCTTGCTGCAAAGACATGGATACTGGAGCTTGAGAAAGAGAAGCAGCCAAAGGAGGATATCATCAAGCTGAGCATAGAATCGAATGTGATATCAAGTGAAACTGCCTTCATTGCTGTTGATGAGGAGTTCTCTACACCAATCAATGAGCCGCTAACAAGGGTCAGCATGTCAGCATTAAGAGATCAGCTTGCAGACGTTATGTATCTATGCAGTGCCTCCATTGATAATGTACTGACTCGTGGAGATAAATTGGATTGTCTAGAATATCAATCTGAGTCACTTGCTACTAATTCAGCAATGTTTATGACAAAAGCAAAGAAAAAAGGAGGTTTTGGAGGAGGATTCCTGTCAAGCATTGGGTCTGCTTTGTCTTCAGTGGCAGGTAGTTTCTCAAGGAGATCCAATACCACACCAGTTTTTGATGGTGCTACAAGCTCCAGGTCTGCTCCAGAGCCTCAACTACGAGTGATTGATGATCTACTAGGGCAAGAAGAAGACAGTGCATGTATGTCTTTTGCACCCGATTCCAAGATTCCCAGTACAAATGTGGATTCTCTCTCTTCTCTAATCCTCCTACAGCAAGCTAATGGTTCGTGGGTTCTCAATGAAGAATTAGCTTCGCTCTTGCAGTTGAGCTTCACTGATATAAAGGACAAGTGTCCTTCTGACTGTCCCAGTGGTGAAGTGTGGGCTACTGTACTTGTGATTACTGTATTACGCTCACGCTATTCTACACAAAGTGATGAATGGGAGTTGGTGGTGAAGAAAGCAGAGACTTGGCTCAAAAGGCAAGCACAGGATAGCATTGGCACCTTGTTCACTGAAGCTAAAAATTTGATCGGATAACTATTTTAACAATTAATCATTTTTATTCTTTGGCTAGTAGTTGTTAGTTAGGCAGCTTTATTATTATAGTTCTTGTCATGTGAAATCATTAATTGGAAACTTTAGTTGATTTGATTGTTTGCAAATAATTATTATTCATACATGCATAACTCCACCTTTATAGGGTGTGACTATGTGTAAGCAAAAGCAACAATGCAAGAAGAAGAATCTTACCTACAAGTGACTTTACAACTTCAACCAACTGTTGATAAAGATAAAAATGACTACCCACTACCTAAAGACAGGAGCCTGACATTCTCTCAGTATCCCCAAACAGGACTAGAAGTGAAGAGAAGAGTACAAGACAAATTCCACATACCACTGTGTCTACAAACAATTTATTTTAATTCATTTGTACTCGAGGACAACCAGGAACTGAGAAACATACACTTTAGAGAAGGAGACACCCTCACAGTATCCTACACTACTCATGGTGACCTGAGTACTGTCCAGGACATCATTAATGCCATCACCACCGTATCAGGACAACTTGAAAGCATCAAAGAGTCTATTCTAGAAGGTAGTCTCACTCAAGAGGAATATGATCAAGTCTTGGATTACAATTTCGTTGATCATATAAACGAATCGTTTGTGAGGACAACCCCAGATATAGTCAAAGTCCATCACCTTTACTTTATACATAATTTTGGAGCTGATGTCTTCTTGAAAATCAAGAGACTCCTTGCTGGGATCCCATGGGAAAAACTACCATTTAAACTCCAGTGCCTAGAGCATGCAGCACTCAAGTATTTCTGGAGCCTCTCGTCCACTATTGGAGTTCGCTGTTACTTATTCAACTTTCCTGATCTAGTGGAACTAATTGCTAGCTCAATACTTCGAATAAAAGCTATTCCAAATGAGAAGCTTAGCATTGCTAACATGCACTATGCTTATCTTGATGGCTATTATTTTGTTGTTAGATCAGCAATAACTATCATGTACAGTGGCATAGGGACTATGGCAAAGTAAGGAATCATGTATCTATATTCTATGAGGTTCAGCCTATAATAAAAGTAGAGGTGGTTGGAGACTAAAGCCGGATTTACAATATGACGCTAGTCCTGACGTTACGTTGACACAGAAGTTGAATCTGGTTCAACTCCAGCGTGAAGCATGCGTGAAAAGGTCAAATCGCCTATGCTTTTGATTAAAAATTGACGTTACGTTGGCCTAGCGTCATATTGTAAATCCGGCTTAATAGTGTTCCTTTTAAATTTATGTACACCATACTAGTAGACTACAATGTCATGCTTTATGTATCATGGTTATTAATGTAAATTGGATGGTTGGTCTAAGTGATGAACTGTTGGTTCATTTGTTGAGGTGGTTGTCCCGACCACCATAGGCAGAACTATGACTTTATAAAATGGCATAACAATCAAGACCTTTTCAATAACATATGCTATATACTTGTATAATTAATTTATTTAATCTATTGCATTCCTTCTTTAGTCTTGCTGAGTTGATAGAGTTTAGAGAAGAGATTGCTAGCATGCCAAACTTGTTAGACCAGATGACCTCAATCATGCTCTGTCCTCAATTTGGCATAGTAAATACACACCTTGGACTCTCAACTCTGTTTGCTTTAAGCTTCTCCCCATCCTGCCACCATAAAATAGCCAGCCCATTGATAATAGAGAGGATTATGGAAGCATCCAGTCACAAGAGGCTAGCTTCAAAAGGAACTGTCACTGAACACAACAGCACCATGATCAAGTAAATTAATTTGCAATAAATTTGTGTCAATTAAATCAATGTGCAAGCCAAAATTAGTCTATTACCAAGCTTAATTAGCTCAGTAAATTTTTAATTTTTATTTTTCAATTTACAGTTATTTTATAAGCGTTTACCTTGCCCTTGTGAGCCCAATGCTATCAAGGAAGGAGGAGTTTCATTCGCTACTACTCCAGGTCATATCACACATGCAGCAGTTTCTTCAAAAAACAAACTACGAAGCAATCCATCAGGCTGAAGTGAAGACTGGACATGAGTGGTCTACAATAAAACCAATTCTTTGCCTGGTCTACAGGACAATAGACGAATACAATGACATCCCACTATTGCCAGAATTATACAGGACTAGTTTACAAGTTGGGCTCATTAGTCTACAGGAAATAACTCTTGCCAGTGATTTCAAAGAAATTGTGGAGAATGAAGGACTCCATGACTACTTAATGTGTCTTCCTTGGTACATGAGAGATGATGAGCTAAGAGAAGAGGCTGAGGTTTTGTATAGATTGGTACAGGCTAAGATAAAGACATCATGTCCTCCTACACTAGTTAACCTAATAAAAGGATATCTAGCAACCAATGCTGGCTTTACACTACAGGAACTAATGTCACCTTCCTTCATTGAGACACTTGAGCAAAGATTAACTTATAATTGAGTTTATACAGTTTTTATAATAATTTTTAAAATTTAATTTGTGTGTAACATTTTTAATTATTATTGTGGGTGTTGCTTCACATTCTTTTACAAGCTGACTCATCACATCAGTGTTTACAATGGAGGAGAACTTAGCTTTAAAAGTAATTTTACAGCCAACCGTTCACTTCAGTGACGAAGAAGAGCCTTATCCACTACCTAAAGACAAGAGCCTAACATTCTCACAGTATCCCCAGACAGGACTAGAAGTGAAGAGAAGAATACAAGACAAATTTCACATACCACTGTGTCTACAAACAATTTATTTTAATTCATTTGTACTCGAGGACAACCAGGAACTGAGAAACATACACTTTAGAGACGGGGACACCCTCACAGTATCCTACACTACTCATGGCGACCTGGCTACTGTCCAGGACACACTAAAATCAATGAAACAGATGCTGTTGACACTAACTCATATGTCTAATGTTCTAATCACCAACAAAATGACTCCTGCAATTGAAAGAATGCTAGATGACAATCTCAATCCATTTGTCATTAAGAATCTTATCGAAACTCATTTAGTGAGGATGCCACGAGAAAAAGCAGAAGCTAATCATCTTTATTTTGTATGCAATGGTGGACTGCGATTAGGACTTAAAATACATAAGATACTAAGCAGCATACCTTGGGAGAAGCACATTCTCACCACACAAATGCTTGAACATCACATACTAAACCTGCTATTTTATCTCTCTTCTAAATATGGTGTAAGGATTCTGATGAAACAGCATCCCGGGATTATAAGCCAGCTAAGCAAGTCTGTACTACGTGTTCAGATAACACCTCATAAAGCTATACTCTCCTCACCTCTGGATAAAGTGAGCGCCACTTATGGGAATGCTCTACTAACAGAGACAATGTACCAAGGAATGAATGTAATTGTGAAGTAAGTAAGATTAGCAAAAAACATCATGGTTTTTGGTCAAATTTCACCAAAATTGAAAAGGAGAAAATTTCCATTTTATACATGTTCTTGTGCTGCATAGAAATTTTAAGCTGATCTGGATCAAAATTGAATTTTAAAGTTGCTCAAAAATCTGGTCAAAATTCATGTACTACAGTACATGGTCTCGGGTCAAATTTTGTCAAATTAAAAAAAGAAAATTCTTTATTTTTATAATTTTTCCTGATACACATACATATACTTACTGGTATGTTGTGTAGAAAATTTGAGCTGATTCAGATCAAAATTGAATTTTTTATGAATTTTAAAAGTTGCTCAAAAATCTAGTGAAAGTCCCTGTACATTAGTACATGGCCTCAGGCCAGATTTTATTAAAAATTGCTAGAAAATAATTTATATAATTTTTCCGATACATACACATGTTTTTATGTTGCGTAAAAATTTTGCTGATCAAAATTATATTTTTTATGAATTTTTAAAGTTTACTATAGCAGTTATTTTCAATCATTTTCTTTTATTGTAGTCTCTCTGAGTTGACAGAATGTCAGATTGAGATAGTACAAACACCAGAACTAATTGAACAGTTAGCATTCTCAATGCTCTCACCCTCTTATTCCATCATATGTCCTCAAACTGTCATATCAACGTTCCTATGTCTTAGCTACTCGCCCCAGACCCACAACTACCTCACAGCTCCAGTCATAACTCACACCATATTTGAGGTCTGCAAGAAGATAGCACAAGAATGGTCATCAAGCAATAGTCGCTATGCACTGACCCAAGGGAGTATCATTATAGTAAAGTAAGAAATTATAGCAATAGAATTGAACTACAAACAACAATATCAACAATAACATGTTTGCTAAATAATAACTATTATACTGTACTGCACTGATATAATGTCACATTAAGCTAGGTTTACATTTGACGAAACGGTCAGAAAGTGTGTGGGCGATCTGACTTTTTGATGCAAAAACGCATTGAAGTTGACACAAAATTGACCAAAATTTAATTTTGTGCTCATTTGCTTTGCATTTTGTGGCGAATGTAAACCAGGCTTAATAGTACTGTACTGCATTAATTAATGTACATTGTATGCTTCTTTTCTACTATAGATATTTCATTACACTCTTCTTTGCATTTGTTGGTACAGCCTCTGAGACAGGCCCTCGTAGACTAGAGCCGTTCCTTCCTGACATTGTGTCACTAATGCACAAGTTCTTACGTTGCACTACACCTAAGCAGGTCCACCAGTCTGAGGTAGAATCAGGATATTTTGAGTCAACCTTCAAGCCTTACGTGTCGCTTTGCTATTTCGATTACAACAGGAAAATCTCTAGTCCTCTCTGCAAAGAATTACCTCTACTACCGGGGTTTTATCAAACGTGTATTCGTGCTGGTATATTTAGCCTTCAAACTATGTCATATACTGACGATTTCAAAGAAATTGTGGAGAATGAAGGACTCCATGATTACTTAATGTGTCTTCCTTGGTACATGAGAGATGATGAGCTAAGAGAAGAGGCTGAAGTTTTGTATAGATTGGTACAGGCTAAGATAAAGACATCATGTCCTCCTACACTAGTTAACCTAATAAAAGGATATCTAGCAACCAATGCTGGCTTTACACTACAAGAACTAATGTCACCTTCCTTCATTGAGACACTCGATCAAAGATTAACTTATAATTAAGCTTGTACAATTTTTATAATAATTTGTATAACATTTTAAAAATTATTGATTGGAAGCTTTAGTCAAACAAATACACACATCAGCTGTCAATACTGTCAGTGCTGCTGTATGAGCTTTCAACAGAACTGGGAGTCATTTTATCGAGTAGTCTTGACGTCTCCTGACTATCAGTATATATTGGTATGTACACTTGGTGGCTTTTCTTTCCTCTGAGGGACCACTTCCACTTCCAACGAGGGCCAGGGCTACTACTGGGTTCCTCTCTATTGATGTTAACTGAGGAGTCTGGAGTGTCTGAGACAGGAGGCCCTCTTGTCATCCTATGTGAAGAATTTATTATAATAATCAACAAATTTCACACATTAATATTTTTTCAATGTTTGTTTACAACTAAGCAGGGCTTGTTGCAAGCCCTTCCAAAAATTATAGTTACATGATGTATTTGCCGTTAATACTCAAAATAGACATCACCCTAGAGTATAGTTTTATACTGTTTATTGTAAGGAAAAGTTTTCGTAATTAGATACTGTAATTGTAAAGGCATTATTTTGGTGCACCAGAATAACCAATTTATGGATTGGTTGCATGAAATTGGGTGGATGAGTTTATATGTACCTCAATCAAACTTTCTACACAGCAGTAACAGTATCAATATCAGATAATTTATAAGTCTACCTGAAGTAATTTCTTAAAAAAATCCAATACACAACAGGAGCAAATGTTATAAGGTAAGTGAGTGAAGTGATCATTATAAAACTGTAATAAATAGAGTGAATATACAAAATATAATAATATTTATTAATTACCAGACTCCTACATGCCCTATCACTTGATGCTTTGTGCCATAGAACCAAAGCATGCTACTAACAGACTGAACTGTATTAACAAATGATAGGAAAAGTGCATAGCGATAAAAAGACTTCTTTGCTATTAAAGAGAGAGAGAGGGAGAGAGTGATAAAATGACATGGTGCCAATGGAATATGCATAGACTCACTAGGGAGGTTCCATTTCTGGTACAAACGAAAAACATAAAGGCAAAATATTAAGCAATAAATCTATGAAAAAAAGATTAAAAATAGAATATGAATATGGAATTATTTACAATAGCGAAAAGGGTAGAGTAAGTAAAGGTGAAGAGCATCCCTCCATGAGTGAAGAGACCGTGTGTTTCACACACAAGAGGATAATAAACTTTAAGGACATCTAACAAACACTAAAAGAGAAGAAAGCAAATTATTAATGAGTGGATTATCATTCTATTTTACATGTATGACTAACTTGAGTTGTCGTAAAAATAAGTGAAATCAAAGAAATAATGAGGACTGTCACTGTTAACTTTAATCGAGAATCAATAAAAAATTCTATGAAAAAATTAGATAGAAGGCAGAGTAGGTAAAGATTAAATTACAAATAAAAATATTTTGGGGGGATATTTTTACAAAACATGTATATCATATGACATCAGTACAAATGCATCACTGTTATTAACTTACTGATTGCAAGACCAAATACAACAACAGATATTTCTGTAGCTAGTATAATCCCTCTTAAGATATAGTGCAATAACTACATGTATAGTGAAGGGGGAAGAGTAAGAGTCATGATGTAAACAAGAGGTGTGATAGTTATGACAGGGAATATTGATAATGATAAACATTTTGTGTAATTATATAATGATTTATAATCTTTTTTTTTACTTTAGCTGCTAAGTGTTGGTGACCAAGAATCATGGCCAGAATCCCTCTTATGCTGCAAACGACTGGTATCAAAAATATCTGCAAATAAAGCAATCCCATTTTTTGATCATAATTTTGTTTAAAATGTCTCTCACCAGGCAGTAAAGGATACTGAATAGCGGCCACGTTAGTCGGAGTTTCTTCACAGTCGGTACAATTTGCAAGAGTAAAAATATTACAAAAATAACATTACAGAATAAAATAAAGACATCGTAGAGACGAACTCTAAAAATTAGCAATAAATATCACACATTGTTATTACTAGTACAGATTACTTTGAGTGGGGTATAGTGTATGTTTGCATGATCACACAAAAGACTTTGCTCGTGTCATTGAGGAGAGTACACCACGTGACGTCTGATATATTAGATATCGGGATCACAGACATCCTCTGGCCTCCTCTTTATCTCCTTTTTTTTCTCTCTCCAATCGCTGAGAGATAGAGGCTGCTGCACTGCTGCAAAAGCAGAAAAAAATTCTGATTGACCACGCCTTTTAATTTTAACTATAGGCGTGGCTTAAATTAATTTTAAAATGGCGGCTTGACTGATTATTATCACGTGATTTACACGTGAACATCACGTGGTACTTTGGCGGGTAGTGCCTTATTTTCGCGGGAAATAAAATCCACCCTCTCTCTCCTCTAAGCACTGACAATGGCGGTAAGTCAATCCTTATCTTTTAATTCTCTATTTCTCCCCACAGGAAAACATTTTATCTAGTAGTTTTGGTGAGCCGAGCAGTCCTCCTGAAACACCTGCAGGTTAACAGCTCTTTCTCCTCCGCCATTTTATTATAATATTTTTATTGATTTATTATATTATTTATATATTTATTTTAATAGGTGGAGGTGTAGAAGAGCCCTTGAGTCCTTTTGAAGATGAGAGAGACGCTCTGTTAGGAAATGAATCAGTTGTGATGGAGGAAGAGGAGGGGGAGGAGCTTTTTGGAGACAACATGGAACGGTGTGTGGGCAATAATTAGAATAATTATTAAAATAATAACGTCAACGCAAATGCTTTAAAAAATGAGCACCTACCTTGTTTTAAGATCTTATTGTGCATGTATGTCTTTTAGATATTATTAATAATTATATAATGTTTTTTTAATCTTTTAGTGATTATCGTCCTATGCCTCATCTTGATGTGTATGATGAGAATGTTGTTGATGATGAAGACTATGAGGCTATGCCGGCTGATGCTAGAGCAGCTGCCGAGAGAGAAATGAGAAAGAGAGACAGACAAGAGGCACTCTCTCAGGGAAGAATGAGGCCTGGTCTTCTTTATGGTATGTTGTTGGGGTAACTATGGTAGTACATGATCTGCCGAATTTTGTCAAAAATGGTTTAGAGACAATTCTTAATTTTTATTTTTTTCCTGTTGCATATACATGTTCTTATGCTATGTAGAAAGTTTGAGCTGATTCTGATCACAATTAGATGTTTACAAATTTTTAAAGTTGCTCAAAAATCTGATCAAAGTCCCTGTACTTATAGGGCAAAGTACTATATAAACTATTTAAATACATTTTGAGTACTTTACAAATTTTAAAGGTCTAGTACGAGTATGTAATAGTTTCAGTAGCTGTAATGAGTAAAGTATTAGTACTTCAATAGAGAACTTAAGCACTGGAATATATAGACTATGATGTTTATGAGAAGTTCACTGACATAGTATAAATTTGCCGAATTCATAAATCTATTACAATTTACACCTTAACTTGTTAGCTCAACCTTAGCTCTTGTTAATGTTCAAAGTACCATATACTGGGATATTTTCACGTTGCTATATTTTGTGTTGGGATATTTTCACATTTCAAAGTACCAAGAGTACTTGAAAGTACTTTGATATTTTCTCTGTACTAAGTACAAGTACCAGATTTAATAAAAGTACTTAAATACATTACAAGTATTTGGCAGTGGTGTGCTTTAAGGCTGGTTCACAATATTATGCTAGCCCTGACGTTACGTTGACGCTGAATTAGAATCTGTTTCTATTCTAGTGGAAAGGATGCGTCAAAAGGTCAAATTGCCCACGCTTTTGATTAAAAATTGACGGTATGTTGGCCTAACGTCATATTGCGAACCAGCCTTAAGTATTCAAGCACCAAAGCACTTGCCCCATGTCTGATAGTACAGGGTATTTCACCAGATATAGCTATGAGTGAATTCTCTATTTTTATACTTTATATGATGTAGATGAAAGTGAAGATGATGAAACTGCTCCACCATTGTCTAGTAGGAGACGTAGAGAACCTGGAATGGAAGAAGCAATGGAGGATGTAATGATAATAATAATAATAATAATTATTATTATTATTAATAGGTTGTGGAAACTATTGAGAACCTTGAGGATCAGAGAGGACACACTGTCCGTGAGTGGGTGAGCATGGCCGTCCCTCGGGCTGAGATCAAAGCTCGTTTTAAAAGATTCCTTGCAACTCACATTGAGAATGGAACTAATATATACAGAGAGAAGATCAGACAGATGTGTGAAGGTAGAGAAGAGGGAGAGAAGGAGGAAAAAAGGAAGAGAGAGAGGGAGAAAGGGAAAGAGAGAGGGAAAAAGGGGGAGAGGGGGAGAAAGGGAAAGAGAGATGGAGGGAAAAAGAGAGAGAGAGAGGAAGAAGGAGGGGAAAAGAGAGGAAGAGGGAGGGGAAAAGAGAGGGAAGGAAGAGGGAGAGAGAATAAAAGACATGTAATGTACATGTAGGTGACAGTGACATGCACATATACATGTACATGTTTACATCAAATTACATGTATAATAATTTTTACTATTCCCAGAGAATAAAGAGAGTATTGTTGTTAACTACAGTGCATTAGCCAGTGTGGAACACGTTGTCGCTTACTTCTTACCCGAGGCCCCAGCAGAAATGCTGGAAATTTTTGATGAGGTAACCATCTGGAAAACTTTTTAACCATTTCTGACTCTCTCTTTCTCTCTTTCACAGGCTGCAAAAGAAGTTGTACTCTCAATGTATCCAAACTACATTAGGATTGTATCTGATATTCATGTCAGGATATCAGACTTACCACTTATTGAAGACCTCAGATCATTAAGGTAATGGAATGATGACACATTGATCATGTTACATACGAAGATTAAATTCCGTGATTTATGTATTTTGAAAAATTTTGCACATACATTAATGCACCCAAACCTAGCCAAATCACGAAATTTTATACCTGCAAAATATCTAGCCTATACGTGGTATTGTATATACTCTACCTCTTCTCAGGCAACTTCACCTGAACCAGTTGATAAAGACAACTGGTGTTGTGACCAGCTCCACTGGTATCCTCCCCCAGCTGAAGATGATTAAATATGATTGTCAGAAATGTGATTTTATCCTTGGGCCGTTTTATCAGAAACAGGATCAGGAAGTTAAGCCTGGGAACTGCCCAGAGTGTCAGTCAAGCGGCCCCTTTGAAATAAACATGGAACAAGTAAGGAAGCTTTATCATTTTATTAGGTCATTTTATTTAGTTAGGTCATTATTTACTATTCATAGTAAAATGATTGTAATTAATTATTGCTGTAAATGTACAGATATTTATAGTAATAATGCATGTCATAATGTACATGTGCAATGTACATGTAGATGTACATTAATATTATACATGTACATTATTATTACACATGTACATGTACATTATTACATGTATATTTATTCTTTATTTTTGCTTCCTTAGACTTTGTATCAGAACTATCAGAAGATTACAATTCAAGAGAGTCCTGGTAAGGTTGCAGCTGGTCGTCTCCCTCGCTCAAAAGATGTCATCCTCTTAGCTGATCTTGTTGACTCCTGTAGACCAGGAGATGAAATTGTTAGTGTAATAATTTTATAAATTATTACCTTTCCCCCTCTCTCTCTCTCTTCCTCTCTCTCTCTCCCCCTCCCTCCCTCCCCCCTCTCTCTCTCTCTGCAGGAGCTGACTGGTATATACACTCATAACTATGATGGCTCGCTCAACACTGCTAATGGCTTCCCTGTCTTTGCTACTGTCATACAGGCTAACTATATTGTTAGGAAAGATGACAAGATGGCCGTTGAATCTCTTACTGACGATGACATTAAGATGATACACACTTTAGCACGGGATGAGAACATTAGTGAAAGAGTAAGAGAGAGAGGAGGGGGAGAAAATTATTGAAAAAAAAACAAATTCATTTATTTCTTTTTTAATTAGATTTTTGCAAGCATGGCTCCCTCAGTTTTTGGTCACGAGGATGTAAAAAGAGCAATGGCTCTAAGCCTCTTTGGTGGACTCCCTAAAAACCCAGGTACAATACCTAATCTCATCACTATTTTAATGAAATCATATTTTAGGTGGTAAGCATAAAGTGAGGGGTGACATTAACGTGCTGCTTTGTGGAGACCCTGGAACAGCCAAGTCTCAGTTCCTCAAGTACATGGAAAAGATAGCCCCCAGACCTGTTTTTACAACCGGTCAGGGCGCCTCTGCTGTTGGTCTCACGGCCTATGTACAGAGGAGTCCACTGACTAAAGAATGGACGTTGGAGGCTGGAGCGCTGGTCCTTGCAGATAAAGGGGTGTGTCTTATTGATGAATTTGATAAGGTTAGACTTAAAAAATTAAAAATTTTGACTGAGTGACATTTCTAAAATTGGTTCTGCTAGTACATGTACATGTATTGATGTCCTTATGCTACACTGTATGTATAAAGTTTGAGCTGATTCCAAGTAGAATTTACAAATTAGTTATTTTTGGGGAAAAAAGGGGCATGATTTTTTCCAAAAATGGCTAACAAAATTACCACCAATTTGTATTACATTTTCTGATGCATATTGATGTCCTTAAGAATGCTGTGTAGAAAGTTTGTACTAAAAGCTTTCATGCATTGTAGTCATTGTTATTACTTATTCATGCCAACTGTTTGAGAACATTTTCCTCTTTCCCTTAAGATGAATGATCAGGATCGTACTAGTATTCACGAAGCAATGGAACAGCAAAGCATATCAATATCAAAGGCTGGAATTGTCACATCACTTCAAGTAATATATTACGTTAATAATTGTTTTAATTTAGGACCTATACTTTGTAGGCAAGATGCTCCATTATTGCAGCTGCCAATCCAATCGGTGGTCGTTATGATCCTTCGTCAAACTTCTCTGAAAATGTGAGTTTTGGTGGTAGCTACTACACCTGTACATGTAAGACTAAGACTACATGTAATTACATGTACACCGTACATGTACATGTACATTATACACGTATGTGTAGATTGTGTATAATTATTGATGATCTTTAGGTTGATTTGACTGAACCAATTCTCTCTCGTTTTGATATTCTTTGTGTCGTAAGAGATATAGTGGATCCTGTAGAGGTTAGAAAAAAAGAAAAACAACTTTTAATTTTTTTCTCTCCCTCTAGGATGAATTATTGGCTAACTTTGTTGTGGACAGTCACATCTTTCATCATCCATCAAATGATAGTGCCAATGAAGGACAGTTCTCTCTTCCTTCAAGAAATAATGTTGAGCCAATACCACAAGTATGTACAACCCAATGGTACCATGCACTGGTTGATATTATTACTATGATCATAGGATGCTTTAAGGAAGTACATAGTGTATGCTAAGGAGAGGGTTCATCCCAGCATTAGTCAAATGGATACTGATAAAGTACCTAAACTTTATGCCGAATTGCGCAGGGAATCACTGGTAATTTATTTATTTTATTTATGTAAATATTTTTGTTTTATTTGTTTGTTTGTTTGTTTGTTTACTTGTATAATTTATTTATTATTTTTATTTTGTAGAGGACAGGCAGTATACCAGTCACTGCTAGACACATTGAGTCTCTCATAAGGATATCAGAGGCTCATGCTAAGATGCATCTGAGGGATTTTGTGATAGACGAAGACGTGAACATGGCAATAAGAGTGATGCTGGAGAGCTTTATAGACACACAGAAATACTCAATAATGAAGACAATGAGAAAGGTATGGACAATTGGACATGTACATGTACAGTACCACTCTCTCTATTTCTTGCTAAAATGACTATTAAATATTTCATTACGTTTATACATGTACGTGTACATGTATGTATTTTTGCATGTATAGGCCTTTTCCCGGTATTTGGCGTACAAGAAAGACAATAATGAGCTCTTGTTGTTCATACTGAAGCAGCTGGCCAGTAACCAGATGAGTTATAATCGTAATCGTTATGGCAGTGATGTGCATGACATTATTGAAGTACCAGAAGAAGACTTAGTGGAAAAGGTAAGGAGATTTGAATAATGGTAGATGTAAAGTTTTTTTTCTTTCTCTCTTTGCCTCTCACTCTCTCTCTCAGGCACGACAGATTAATATTCACTCTCTTTCCTCATTCTATGAGTGTGATCTGTTTGCAAACAATAAATTTTCTTATGACAAGAAGAGGAAAATTATTATTCAAACACTCTGAGAGAGAGAAGGAGGGATTGTTCATGAGTACTTCATATCCTCATCTTAGTTAATATCTTATGAATAAACTAACTACAGTGTATTCTGCTAACTTTACAAGCACATAAATCACAAAGACAGACATTAATAATGCAAAGGGAAGGGAATTTTAAAAATGTTACAATTCAATATGGTTTGATTCCTCTTGATTGTCTTTTTCTTCAACTCGCTGTTTAGCATGCTCTTTAAGCTCAATTTTTTCATCATGCTGTTGTTGTTGTCTTCTTTCTTTTATTCTTGAGAGTAGTTCCAGTATTATCTCAATCAAACGATCAAACCATGATCTAATTTCAGGGTTAACACGGTTTGCACATGTCTCCCACAGATCAACGAGCCAATCTTCTGTTGTGGGTAACTTTCTAACACCTTTTATTGTCGGATCATGTGGGTGAGACTCTCCAGCTAGGCAGAAAGGTATGCTATGAGCTGTTTCTTTATCCATGTGGCCTTCAAGGTGCTTTGTGATTGATCTCTTGTAATCCTCCATTAGGTCTTTCATTGCTTGGCATTTTGCCTCTTCTGATGCCAAATATTTGATCTTGCTATCCTGAAGAAGAAGATTAGCAAACGTTAGAACAATAACTGTCCTTTTCCATGCCTCCTTATCAAGTGCTTTTCCTAAAGCTTTCAGCAACTTGATTTCGCTATCACTAAGACGGTTGGTTATTTTTATGCATATCAAGATGAGATCAAAACTGTCACTCTTAGGTATTTTGTGGTTACTCTCAGTACTATAACCATATGTATCATACACTCGTAGCTGTACTCCCTCAAACTCTCCTTCATAGTAACTTTTTGAAGCTTTAATGGAATCTGGTCCACAGCCAGTTTGTGCTAGAACTTTTGCCAGCATGACATTGACAAGAGTCGACTTGCCAGCACCAGCCAGTCCAGTGAAAAGAATGTGAACAGGCTTATTGCCCAATTTCTCTTTGTGTTCTTCTTGAAGGATTGTTGCTTGAGGTTCTTCTAATGGCACTCTAGGTATATTTTCATTAGGAAAGGTCACTGGTTGTATCTCAACATCATCATCTTGTACATCAAGATTGCTGTTCCATTCATCATCCATGTCGGTAAACAGGAAAGGGATTTTCCCTGGGGAATGTCCTATATGTTTTGTTATATGATGTTTTGTCTCTGCCAACATTATTGGAATAGCAATTAAAATTAACTAACTATATGTATAGTATAATGTGTGATTTTATGACGTAATGATAGCTATTATTGACATTTGTACGTTTTAAATAAGCTTTGATTCACGGACCGTAACTGCCACATGGCTAAAGTATAGGACATACTCTACGCTTGAATATTCACTATCTTTCCTCATTCTATGAGTGTAATCTGTTGACACTGGTGGATCTAGAAAAATTAAAAGGGGGGGTTCCATTTCACTTAAGTAGGTGGGGCTCATTAATTTTAATTATAAAATGAAGGAAAATTGCAACTTCTGCCTAAGGGGGGGGTTCCATGGAACCCATGGATCCCCCCTAGATCCGCCACTGCAAAAATTATAATCGAAATACTCTGAGAGAGTGGGAGGGATTGCTCATGAGTACATTTCTCCCAACCCCCATATACCTAGTACATGTACATGTTAATGAACAGCAGGTACTAGCCGTACAGCAGGAAATATTTGCGGGGAATTAAATTTTGCGAGTTTGCGATTCCATTTAAAGCGCAAAATTTAAATCCGCAAAATAATGAAATTCATGCATGACCACAGTAGATAATGCTACAATAACTGTCAAAACCGCAAATATTTAATCCGCAAACCAGGTTATTTTTTAAGGATTCGCAAAATTTTTCTCCGCAAAATTAACCAGCTGTACGGTATACTAAAACTTGCATGTGCACATATTAATAATTTAAGTGTAAGTTCAATGTATTTTTGTTTTATTTATTTTATTGGCTTAATGTGATTGCCTGACCATACCCATAATTGTTCAAAAATTTATTCACTGAGATACGAGCCTCATTTCATTTTACTTCCTGTATGTGGGTGTGGCTAACCATGACATCACTGGGGAGCTTGCTGTAACAAGGGAAATAATCCTTTATTCTCATGCCTATTGCCAAGCACTGATTTAATGATTGGGATCATTAGCTTTCATTATTCTAAGCATGAAACTGCAAGAAAAAAAATCCATAATACACCACGTAAGTGGATAACAAAAGATAATGGTCCCAATTTTTGAATTAGTACTATTACATTAAGAATAAAGGATTATTTTCCCCTGTACAACAATGAATTTAGCTGCAGTGAGCTATGCCCCTAATAATGTCACATTTAGCTACATCATATCACCAACAGGAAGCAAAAATGGGCATTTTTGAAGGCTTATATTTCAGTGAATAAATTTAAATTTAGACAATTGGAGCTAGGACACATCATTATTATGGTCAAGCAATCATATTAAGCCAATAAAATAAATACATTGAACCTACCCTTTAAGATACCAGTATACCTTTTCCCACTAAGTCTTCTCTGGTACTTCAATCTTGCACATCACTGCCATAGCAAACACGATTAATTGCTATGGCAGTGATGTGCATAACATTATTGAAGTACTAGAAGAAGACTTAGTGGAGAAAGTAAGGAGATTAAAGATATTGGTAGATGTAAGGTTTTCATTCTCTTTTGCCTCTGTCTCTCTCTCAGGCACGACAGATTAACATTCACTCTCTTGCCTCATTCTATGAGTGTAATCTGTTGGCAAACAATAAATTTTCTTATGACAAAAAGAGGAAAATTATTATTCAAACACTCTGAGAGAGAGGGAGGGATTGTTTATGAGTACTTCATATTCTCATCTTAGTTAATATCTTATGAATAAACTAACTATTATACAATGTATTCTGCTAACTTTACAAGCACATAATAATGCAAAGGAAGGGAATTTTAAAATGTTATTCTAATTCAATATGATTTGATTCCTCTTGATTGTCTTGTTCTTCAACTGGCTATTTCTTTAAGCTCAACTTTTTTATCATGCTGTTGTTGTTGTCTTCTTTCTTTTATTCTTGAGAGTAGTTCCAGTATTATCTCAATCAAACGATCAAACCATGATCTAATTTCAGGGTTAACACGGTTTGCACATGTCTCCCACAGATCAACGAGCCAATCTTCTGTTGTGGGTAACTTTCTAACACCTTTTATTGTCGGATCATGTGGGTGAGACTCTCCAGCTAGGCAGAAAGGTATGCTATGAGCTGTTTCTTTATCCATGTGGCCTTCAAGGTGCTTTGTGATTGATCTCTTGTAATCCTCCATTAGGTCATTCATTGCTTGGCATTTTGCCTCTTCTGTTGCCAAATATTTTATCTTGTTATCCTTAAGAAGAAGATTAGCAAATGTTAGAACAATGACTGTCCTTTTCCATGCCTCCTTATCAAGTGCTTTTCCTAAAGCTTTCAGCAACTTGATTTCGCTATCACTAAGACGGTTAGTTATCTTTATGCATATCAAGATGAGATCAAAACTGTCACTCTTAGGTATTTTGTGGTTACTCTCAGTACTATAACCACATGTATCATACACTCGTAGCTGTACTCCCTCAAACTCTCCTTCATAGTGACTCTTTGAAGCCTCAATCGAATCTGGTCCATAGCCAGTTTGTGCTAGAACTTTTGCCAGCATGACATTGACAAGAGTTGACTTGCCAGCACCAGCCAGTCCAGTGAAAAGAATGTGAACAGGCTTATTTCCCAATTTCTCCTTGTGTTCTTCTTGAAGGATTGTTGCTTGAGGTTCTTCCAATAGCTCTCTAGGTAGATTCTCATTAGGAGAGTCCACTGTTTGTACCTCAACATCATCTTGTACATCAAGATTGCTGTTCCATTGATCACCCATCTCGGTAAACAGCAAAGGGAATTTGCCTGCTGGGAATATCCTTTCATCATTGATAAGAGAGGAAAGGAAACTATTATCTATTACTCTATCACCTATGCTAATTCATGTTTACTATTAAGACAGGAATGGCTAAATCAACTGCACTCTATATACTGTGAAATTTTATGACATAATGATGGATGACTTACTATTGACATTTGTACATTTTAAAGTAAATTTGATTCAGTGTCCGTAGTACCACCTGGCTCAAGTATTGGGATGTACACCACTTTGTGTAAGCCATCATTATGAATGTTTTTCATAGGAATAAATGTATTTTTACTATCAGCCATCATAATAATAAATGTATTCATGCCATCTAGGAAGAAGAGGAGTACAAGAGAGAGTGGTATATCCTTTAAGATTAACATTCACTCTCTTGCCTCATTCTATGAGTGTAATCTGTTTACAAATAATAAATTTTCTTATGACAAGAAGAGGAAAATTATTATTTAAACACTCTGAGAGAGAGGGAGGGATTGTTCATGGTTATTTCTCTCCCAATTTGTACATGTACCTTAAATTTGTAAAGAGCTTTTTCTGATTGATGAGGCTAGTTTGCTTTTACAATCAGTATCATTTGCAAGTTATCTACTCTTGCTATAAGATATTAAGTAATTTTAACAGACACACAAGTCACTATTCTCACTAAACTATATATAACTACACAAAGTTTGAGGTTTGATGCTAAGCACCAATTTTTCCCTAATGAGCACCATTTTACTTCAAAATATTCTACTTGGTGAGCCAATTGCGCACTAACTAAAGTCTATTAATTATTAAAAACCTCACCCATAATAAACACATGTGTGTGCATGTGCTGCAGCAATTAAAATGGCAAACTAATCAGTCTAGCTTATAGTAGTACTAGTGCTCTTAGCTCACCAAGAGTGGAATATTTATATTATTTGGTGCTCATTTTGCTCACTCAAAATAATTTCTTATTTTCAACTCTGAGCGATACCAATGGCAGTAACAATATGAGGGAGAAAGGAAATTGATAAAATTGTTATTGCAGAAGCCCCTATTACCAGAGCTCTAGCTCTGAATAACCGTGTCCGGTTACTGGACCTCTGTCCACTTCATTGCAGTTATTCCTCTTGATCATTGCTCTAACTTCTTTCTTCAAGATCAACTTTTTGAACTTCAAATTGCTGTTCTTCATCATGCTGCATTATGTTGTTGCTGCTCTTTTT